AGGGCAGGATGCGCGAGGAGGTTACGCAGATTCAGTACCAACATGCGCACATAGGTGGGATGTAGGTGTTTTGAGAGGATGCAGCTGCGCAGATTGATTGGCGAGGCAGCATCGAAGTCAGCACGGGAAAAGTGGGCAAACAGTTCGCTCTCGAGCTGACAGAGTTCCTGGTGGGTGGTCTTCAGACAGAGCATAGAGGCGATATTGTTGTTGGCTCGGCTTGCTTCTAGGGCGCGGCTGAGGAAGGCCGAGAGAACGGGCAGTTGTTGCCTAGCCTGCTCCTCCATACTAGAGTACTCATAGAAGAGGGCGCAGGCGGACCGTGGCGACAGCTCAATCTCCTGTTCACCACCACTGATGGTGTCCTTGTCAGCTAGCTTCTCATTGACCTGGACAAGGAGTTGGGAGAGGGCGGATCTGCCCCAGTTATCATAATAATCCTCCGCATGCTTCCGTTCATCCTCCGGGTCAGTACTGAAGCCACTTATACGGTCACCCTTTGAAGGCAGCGAAGAGTTGAAAGGGAGACTGCCGGAGCGTGTGCTAAGTGTTCCGTTGAAGAGACTGTCACAGTGCTTGAAAATGAGCTGTCCTTGGTCGTCAGTCCTTTCGCTGAAGTTGGAGTTGCTGTGGCTGGCGTTCTGGTCCATTTTGTCTGCTGCGGCAGCAGCGGTGCCGATGCGGTCGGCTTTCTTTCGGCCTTTGTTTTTCCAGGGTCGTTTGCTCGTATCACCCATGAGAAGGGGCCGCCTTTGTGTGTCTAAAAATGCAAACACACAGAGAGTCGTTAGTGTCACAGAATCCCCAAAAATAAGCGCAAATAATCTACAACCAGTGACTGATTTGGTGAAATATTAATTGGAATGCTTAAATAAATTTTCGATTATGCGAGAGGGGAGAGGAGGGTTGTAATGTAGATCATCGTGCGGCATAATCCAACGATGTTTCAGATATATATGGATACCAGTTTTTGAATGCTACCCATTGATTTTGGATGCTGTTATAAATGAAAAAATCTTTTATCTAAAAGCGTGGTGCTCAAAATATTCCCTTTTACTCACTTACTTCCAAATTCTTATAAGAAGCACTATGTTTGTTCATGTTTGTCATACAATGTATTTGAATTGATACGAAATAGCGAAAATCAATAGAAAAAATGCATACTACTTAACTTTGGTTTTTTATAGAGTGCAGATTTTTAGGCACTAAATAGACGTCTATTTAAAAGCCGGCATCCTTTTGTGTTTGAAATAGCTTGGGACTATGCTACACGATAATAACTATTAAAATTTCCTTCAAGTAATCCTTCCTAATGAAAAAACACACTTCAGAAAATCGGTGAACATTTTATGAAACGGGCCACAGACCGTAACAGATTGTATTGCTGCGTCTTGTATCAATGAAATGAGTGTAGATTTTGACAAAAACAATGGCGCTAAATTAATCCGAACTAGCTGTCGACACTCAAAAGAGTGCTGCCACTTACTTTAGAATCAGGGGAAGACTGCGTACAAAGTCGCAGAAAACAAGTGCTTTTCTATTTACTTATGAGGCAGAAAAGATGGCAGACTGGACTGGAACACAGTATCTAGGCCTTCCTTTTTTTGATCCACAATCTGTTTGATCCGTTTTTTTTTATTCAGCACCCCGATACGCACCGATCCAAACATCAGTTACTTACAGACAGGAAAAAACATAGACTCTACGAATGTGGATTGCGGGCCTGTCGGGGGGGGGAGGGAAGTTGGTCTAATTTCCAACGGATAATACTGATCAGGGCACTAATTTATTGAAAACTATCCACAAACACTACACTCCAACGATATCGCCGTAATAACGTGAAATTGAAGTCGATCCAGGCAGAAGAGGTGAATATGAATGAAAGCCCCGGAAGTGAAAAATATGGCAGACTAAGAACAAACACATTCTAACCACGCAAGAGAGCTAAGCCTGTACGTAGTTGAATTAAGGAAAAAAAATGTATCCTGTGGTAGAGCTGTATATGTGCCTACATGAGAGTTGGACCGTCGTTTCCGACTCACTGTAGGGTGGGTGTAGGGACGGCTATATGCGCGTGAAGTAGTTTATGGTGATAGTAGACTGCGTGGCGTTTACCGTGCTCTTTCTTTCCGTTCTCAAACCTGGGTCGAGAAACCCGGAGGCCGAATCGGGTGCAGGTTACGGATGTTGAGGGAACCTGTGCCCAGACATGCCACCACGCTCTCTCCATGAGGGGAATCGATTATGCTTGTGCCTGCCCTCTAACGCCTGTCGTGCCCTGATCTAGTCCATTTACCGCGTGGCCCGTTTCAGAGAGCACAGATCAAACTTCATCGACTGCACAGAGGACCACTTGCTTTCACCAACAACATCATCCCATTTCGGGTCAGCCCTACTAATCAAGAAAATCAGCTACAAACTGGATAGATTTATGTCGCGCTAGATGTAATCCAACCATTCTTGAATATAACATTAGTGGCCTTTTGGAACGTCGCGGCGGACTGGAAAATTCAAATGTCATAAAAAGTTCAGTCGGGGCTTTTTAATTATTTAAAAACTGGTTTAAAATGCCTTACAAAGGGTCGGGGAAGATACTAGCAGCTCTCCACTCGAAAATGTAACCCGATGGTAGCTGAAAGGGCAAATCAACGACCTACAGACACCCCAACTCTAACAGGGCTTTCGACAGAAGAAAAAAGCAGCGTTAATCGCGAGACATTTGTTAGACTCTTGACTTCTTCAAGAGTTATTCAGGTTATCAACTCTCAGAGTGTAGTGGATCAAGTTAAGCAGAGAATTGAGATTGTTCGTGATTAAGAAGAGTAAAGCCGAAGCTTCTGACTCAAATGAAGTCGCTGCTTTCCAGCTCTCTTCTATATTGTAAATGGGAGTATTTGGAGATCTAGGGGACAGAGAATTCCCTTCAGAAAAAACGGCTGCGTTTTCGCCGTTTCGCTTTGAACTGTCAGTGCCCACTCACGCTGCTTATCGAACTGCCTTGTGGAGAGTGCTACATAAAGGCAAGCAGCGTTGCCGATAAAACAGTTCTCCGGTAACTGCAGAAGTATACGGAGGTAGTCTCCGCTGCCATATCTTTTATCAGAAGGACGCATACAAAAGGTCTTAATTGTGTCACCTCCGCATAATTCTACCACGGCGTGAGTCCTCTAGACACCCAATTCGTAGAGCTTCATGCTTTGAACTTTGTGGCAACTTTCCAAGGTATTGTCGACCTCGAATACCTAACGTAAGTTTACATGTTTTTACGTGCATGCCTATCTGACAGATACCATGGGCGTCTGTTTGGTAGGTTGTATACATCGACGGACGGTGAGTCTGAGACTCAATGGATAGTGCACCCAGCTCATAAACCAACTGCCACTGTAATAAAGTCTGGGGTCTTCCGTGTCTGCAGTTCGGCTATGTTTGGCTGACTACGAAAATAGGCGAAAATTAACATTTTTGTCGGCAAAAATTCCCCAGTATATTGCTTCATCTCCTGCACATGTGGACTTCCCGAACCGCCCACGCGGAATCTATCGGGCGCCAGATGATATCTGCCCGTGGTGAAGATCCCAGAAAA